CCTCCGTGCTGCCGGCAGAACCCTGGACCCTGTCTCACCCTAAGCATCAGCATGCATGTGTGGGCCTCGCTGAAAGAGTCTGGGGTTCCCATCTCCCATCCTTTTTCCTTCCGCCCTGAAATTTCATGAGGCTGCATCCAGGAGCAGATCTTTCATTATTCATCACATTGGTTCTCTTGGGCCCTCCCATCATGGAGAACCATGTCTCTCTTTGGCTCTGACAAATACTATTATCATTTCACGATGAACTCCTCTTCCACGTTCTCTTTTTCTGCCTGGACTCCTTTTCTAAATGCACACTAATTTTGTTCGAGTTTACCATTTATGGCTCAACTCTTCTCTCACACTTTTTCATTTCTTTGTGAGTTTTATTTCATTCTGGCTTTTCGGCCTCGGAGATACACGTGACAGACACCTTTCTCCATCCCTTCTATTGAATTGTATTTATTTATTCTGTTATTTTGGCAAGCGCATTTGGAATTTCCATGAACTGTTCCTTTATTCAGGCCTCCCATTTCATCGCAATCCGCTCTTATTTTGTAGGTGTGATTTCTGCTTGAATCTCTCCGAGGAGACTCATTAGAGGGTTTTTTTGGGATCCTGTGCCCCACTGCTTCCCCAGTGTCATCCGTGTCCTCCCCACTCATGGGAGACAGTCATTCTGTGTTCATCTAAGTCACACTCTTTCAAGCTCTGGTTTCTGGGTGGGCTCTTAGGGAACATGGGGCTCCTCGCCTGGCTGTCCTTCCTCCAGCGCCGCGCTGCACACAGCCTGGCCTGGGACCCACGTCCCTGCGAGCACCCATCCTCGACAAGCTAAGAACAGAGATGAGACTGAGCATTTAGAAACTTTTACGATATTCTGACATTGCCATGATAACCAGGTGTATCAGCGGGCTTGTATCTTGAATACCTGTTTTTAAATTCCTCTTTCTAGTACTTCATTTTTATTATATTTTATAAAAGTATCAGTCCATAACAGATTAGAACTTTTTTTAAGTGGTGGGTTTGGTGGGTATCTTTCACTACAGCTAATCAAGGGCACTGCTTTAGAGGGTCCAGGCAGAGAGGGCCCCGCGTGTAGACAAGCTGCCCCTTTGCCAAATGTCACTTGAGGGGGGGTCTCCTTGGGCCACTGTCCCCATTCTGAGAGCCCTTGACCTTTGGCTGGGGTATAAGCTGAAGCCACACAGTGGAAGGTTAGGGGAGGAAGTGCCCGGGGAAGTCATTCCACAGTCAGCCCTTCCATCCATCCATCCATCGGTCACTCAGCGGTGGCCATGCCACTCCTGTCCTCTCACACACACAGCAGGTCTGAAGCATCAGCGGTAGAGAACATTCCCATCTTGGCTGCCCTGCTCCCCTTCGTGCTCTGAGCTGGGCATCTGCGCACCTGCCTCTGTCTCTCTGTTGTACGTCCAGTGTCCTCGCTCGCTTGCTCTCTGGGTACCTCTGTTAGCTTCCCACCCACTGTCCTTTGCTGTCATTTTAGTAGGTTTTCAAAAGAGCAGGCAATGGTTGGCCTTTAGTTCACTGTCTTGAACCAGAAGTCCTTCTTCAAAGACTTTTAAATCACCTTCGCTCTGGGGTCACAGAGGGATCAATGCCTGGGCAGGAGGGAGCTTTCTCGGCGATGCTAATGGTCTATAGTATATCAACACTGTCCCATAAAAATGTAATGTATGATTTAAATTTTTCTAGTAGCAACATTAAAAAAGAAACAGATGAGATTCATTTTAATAATATATTTTATTTAACCCAACATATCTGGAATATTATTTCAACAATCAATATCATAATTATGAATGGGGTGTTTTGCATTCTTTTTTATGGAGGGGTTCAGAACAAGACATGCCACTTTGGCACATGAATTATTTTGAGCTGAAGGCCGTAGAGACCCTGCTGGCTCATGAGAAATATTTACCTCTCCCTTAAAGAATTTAAATTAGGGGCCTTGCCCATAATAAGAGTTATCACCAGAAATAATTTCTTATGACCTATCTGTAGGGAAGGTCCAACTTCTAACCAGTGGATATCTGCTCTTCTTATCATCCTGCAATGACTTTCCTCACCTCTCAAGCCTCATGGTGACTTACTTCATCCCTAGCTCAGAATGTCACCTATATTTCATTTTCCCTGTCTGTCTCTGAACCGCTCATGCATGTGGGTCTCTGACTCATTCATGTATGTGGAGTTCCCATATGTACACATGTAATTTAATTTGGTCATTTTCTCTTGTTACTCTGTATCATGTCTACTTGATTATTAGCCCATCCAGAAGAACCTTGAGGTTGTAAAGGAAAGTTTCTTCCTCCCCCACATTTATATGCCATGTTTTCAAAATCTGGTACATCTTTTATACTTTTAGTACCTCAATTCAGACACTAAATTTTCCTTGAAAATATGTTACCTATATTTAGATTTTGTAAAATTTACAGTTGAAAAGCAGATTAATATACAGGTGCTCCTGACCTTGTGATGGACTTACATCCCAATAAACTCATCATAAATTGAAAATATTAGGTCGAAAGTGCATTTAATACACCTAATGTAACAAACATCATAGCTTAGCCTCTCCTACAGTAAACGTGCTCAGAACATTTACTTAGCTTAAAATTGGGCAAAAGCATTTAACACAATGAATACACCATAGAGTATCGGTCGTTGACCCTCATGATCGTGTGGCTGACTGGGAGTTGTGGCTTGTCGAGACTGTCATGTTAAATATCGCTAACCTGGGAAAAGATCTAAATTCAAAATCTGAAGTACTGAATGTGTACCCCTTTCACACCATCATAAAGTCAAAAAGTTGTAAGTGTACCCATCATAAGTCGGAGACGATCTGTACTAAAATTGTTCCCAAAACATAACCTAAAAGTTTTCCAGTAGCAGAGTCAAGGGTCAGTTTTTAGATATAAACGAAATAAAATCAAATGAAATTTAGAATTTCGTTCCTTATTCACACCAGTCACATGTCAAGCGCTCAATAGCCAGGCGTGGCGAGTGCCTGCCACACTGGACCACACAAGCCTCTATCTTCATGGAGGTTGGGGTACATGATGTGTGCAGTTGTAAAAACTCATTCAATGATACCGGTAAAATCTGTGTATAAATTTTACTTAATAAAAAAACAAAACTCTCTAGTTAATATGTATGAGAAAGTATTAAAAGGTGAAATAAATATACTGATTTCTTCAACATACTTTGAAATGCATTTTTAAAAAATTAAAAATGAGGATCAATGACCAGAGGGCTACACGGATTCATATGCTATGGATTCATAGCAAACATAATAAAATGTTCGTTGTGGAATCGGGTAGTGAGATATATGGGTGTTCACTGTACAGTTCTTCTAACTCTTCTGGATGTTTTAAAGTTCTAGTAAGTAAGACATGTCTTCAGTAAACTATACCTGCATGTGCTACTATTGCTTAATGTCAGAAACAGGCTGTCGAGTGCAAGAAACCAGACCCCAAAGAGAACCTATATATGGCTCCATTTATATAGTTTTTTAAACTTCATAGTCAATAGGTCAGGCAAAACTGATCTATGCTGTTAGTGGTCAGAATGTGGTTATCCTTGGTGGGTGGTGACAAGAAGGGGGCAGAAGAGGAGGTTCTGGGGTGCAAAGTTCTATGTTTTGAGAAGGGTGTGGGTCTCACGGGTGTGTTCGCTTTGTGAAAATTCCTCAAGCTCTGAGCGGAATGTGTGCACTTAACGGTCTGTGTGTGTCAGCCGTCAGTTTGTTGTTTTAAGGCATGCCTATGCTTCACCCCTTGCATGAAGGAAACCAGAGCTCGCCCCCAAAACCACTCTGCCTGATTTAAAGGCTTTGCCCAGTGCAAGGGAGGCTCCTCCCTGGGCCTGGCAAGTCACTGGGGACGGAGGACTTGCACGCTGTGGGGCCATGGATTTATTTTAGGAACTGTCTCTCTTTGCAGTTCTTGATTCCGTTTTTGGAACATGCTTTGCAGAAAGCCATCTCATGTCTCCCTTGGTCCCCAGCCCCTGGGCATCAGTACAACCGTACTACTCAAAACGCCTCACGACTTCCAATTCCCCTGGGCTTGGCCCACAGGCCACGCGTTACCTTCGCGCTTCGCTGTCTCGTTTAGAGAATGGCTTTTCCTCCAGCTCTCTTTCCTCGGAGAGCTTAAAACAGGAAAAGGAGGGTATGCTTCCTAGGGAGAAGCAAGAGAAGAGAGTGGCAAACTGAGGCACAGTAGAACGGGCGCTGCAGGGCTGGGGACATGGTGGCAAATCTGCAGTGGGAAGACTAGCACCCAGGATGCTCTGGAGGTGCCAGTTCATCCAGATTTTTAAGTTCACGGTTCAGATAAACCTTCCGACCTTGCCACCCACACAGCACTTGTGAAAGAGCGGCTCACCCAGGGCCCTACCTACTGTCACAGCTTTGGGGGATAAGTTACTAAAATGAGGACAATCAGAAATCACAGTTTCTCTTACAAGCATAGGTCACTCGCTGGGGAGTGGGTGCACAAGGAAGATACAGGCCCCCTCTGTCACCAGGAAGTGTCCAGGAGGGGCCTGCTGACCCCAGCCAGCACCAGGAAGCTTGCAGAACAACGTCTGAGGCAGGGAAGAGGCCTGGGGGTGCCCAGGGCTGCAGGGTGGCTCCCCGCCCCGCTGTGGGACTCCTCCCCCAGGAGGTGCATCCCTTCCCAAGGCCTTGCCTAGGCTCTGGCAGGTTCTCAGAGCTGGATGGGGCTGACGTCCTCAGACTGGGGCCCAGCGTCCCCCGCCTGGGGCAGGTGGCATGGCAGCCAGGGTCGGCCTGGGTCTCTCCCACTTCCCATCCCCACGCAGGGCCCACCCCACCACACCCACCTCCTTACCACCATCCTCCCAAGGCCTTGGACCCAAACCCCGCCTCTCCCCCTCTTCCTTATCTCTTTTTCTAACCTTTTGCATTTTTTGTCTCATTTCCTGTCGAGTTTTGCATTTCCCTCCCCCGCCCCTCCCAGCCTGTGACACACTTTCTCTCCTTTTTTCTCTTTTGCCTCCTCTGGTCTTCAGACTCCAGCCGGGAGGCGCGCAGCCCCTCTTGGCCCTGCAGCCCCTGGACGGGAGAGAAGGTGAGGGCAGCGGGGACTGAGGGCCTGAGCACCGACAGAGGAAGCCGGCGGCCTGCGCGGAGGAGGCGTCCAGGGGCTGACAGAGCATGAGCGCCCCAGGTAGGTGCGG